TTAATGTTTTCAGTAAGGTCATTAACTTGTTTATGTGAACCTCAGACTCCTTACACTATGCACCCCCTCACCCTGGGAAGTACCAAAAATGAGCAACAGAGCTGACCTCAAAGTGATCCACAGAGTCCTTGGCAGGCACCAAAAACCGGCACCCGAGAAAATTTAGGAGCCATCAGGATCCAACGTCCATTGAGAGTTTTGGATGACTATCTGCCAAAGTCCTTTCCAATCTCCTTTTGTTTTTCCCCGGGATGATTCACACATCCATAGCCCAACGTGCTGTTGTGAGACTTCTTCATGAACACCACAAATGCAAAAACAGAAGAGCAATCTTTCTCCTTCTAGTTAATCTCTGCTCTTCTAGTCTACACTGGGAGGCTGTTGCATTTTGATAGTGACCATGAGTACATTTGTCACCTTTATCAGGTAATGACCAGGGAAAGATTGATTTCTCTGAATCTGGGTCCCGGATGTAGGAGATGGCAGCCTTCTTCAGTTTAGGCCAGGACTACATTATTATGTGACCAAGGGATTGTGCTTTGCCATTCTCCTTCAGCGGAGGCTGTGACTTTTCCAGGTTGATGTGGCCTCTGGCAACTACTGGTTTCAGATCCTCCAAATGCTGAGATTTTTGCAAACAGGATGGCATTTTGGCTGAGAAACTCACCTATTCACAACCATTATTTTCCTTAGATTCCAGTTAAAAGGCAGTTCTGCTAGTTACTGTGTCTCGGTTGGAACGGAAAGCCTTTGGAACAGCAGTGCTCCTGTGTGTGAGCGTGAGTAGAGTGGCTGGCACCTCATGCCAATCTCTCCCTTTAATCTGTTTGGTAATTTGAGGCATGGCTTCATTAGCGTTTGATTCTAATCTGAATTATTGATAAATAGTATCACATATTTCAGTAGTAGTTTAGTGTGAATCAGTTTGTAGTGATATACTTTGTTGTGCATCATATGTTTTGGGAACCATCTAATCAGTCTCAGTCATTTTGAATTTTGTCTTCTTTGTCATAACTCCTGCTGGAGTTGCCTCTAGGTCAGGAGAGATTAATAATGTAAAGTGTTGACAATTTTTTTCTTTTTTCCTACTTTCTTTCTTTATTTTTCTTTTTTCCATCAGGTGGAGTCATTCTACATTTTTTTTATATTGGCAAATATACAAATAAGAAACATTCACTCATTTAATCACTTATTGAGCACATACTATGTGCTTGAGGTTTTTCTAGGCATTGGTGTTATAGCAGTGAACATGATGAGCAAAATTTTTGTCCCTGTGTTATTTCTGGTCAAGTGGGGAAATCGAGAAGCAAAAAAAAAAAAAAGGAAAGACAACATAATTGCTATGGAAATGATAGGTCACACAACATAGGAATGAGGGGAAAGTGGGAAATGTCATTACACAGATGAACAGTTTACGATTCCTTAAACACTCAAAACATGTATTTAAATAAATTATGCTGAAGATTCAGATAATTACCCCATTAAATACTGAGTTTCCTGTAGGCAATGCCACTAGTGATTTCTCCTAATCTACCCATTTGTATTTTCCCAATGGAAGATAGGACTTTGCTTCACCTCTTGATCCTAAAGACTGGAAACTATAAATATACTTAAACAATCAAATGTTACTAAAATGTTCATGTTGCTGGAAAACTACTCAGTCATCCTCTGCTGTGTTGTGTAGCAAAACTTTATTTAAAAAACAAATCTTTTAGAGACCCTTGCTCTTCAGGAAACTCGACATCCACTGACACATCATGACAAATGGTTGTCTTACTGCCATGTGTTAGAGCTCAGCTACTGACTGGACTCTTCCTCTTATTATTCATGACTCTTTCTAGTTTGAGTAGCTCCTTCCAAATCCCAAGCCCAGTTAGAAGCCCCAGTTAGAAGTGAGGGAGGAATCGTTTTAAACACACAAGCAGATCCCAGAAAACAGTAACAATTTGACGTTGGACAGAAAGTTAGAAAAAAATAATAAATCATAAACAAACATGCGTATGAAGAAACAAGGCAGTCTGAGCGACTCAGAATATTTGCAATGAACCATACATGTTTCCACCCATTGTGACAGCACTTCCATGATAATCAAGATTGATGGTCAGTTTCCATAAGTCATAAAGGAAAGGTTTCAAGTCTGTAAGGTGATGAGCACACATGG